CAATGTATGGCTCCCTAGTCTATCTAGAATCAAGTCCAAACTCCATAGTTCCAGGGCTTTTTAAAAAATTTTTAAGTTTATCTATTTTGAGAGAGAGACAGATTGAGTGAGCAGGGGGAGGGCAGAGAGAGAAGGAGAGAGAGAATCCCAAGCTGACTCTGCTGTTAGCGGAGCCAGACCAGGCTCGAATCCACCAACGGTGAGATCATGACCTGAGCCAAAACCATGAGTCGGATGCCTAACCAACTGAGCCACCCAGGCGCCCCCACAGTTCCAGGTCTTTAATACTATGGCCCCAGGCCATCTCTCAAGCCAGAAGGCTCACTCCTGACTTAACACAATACTCAAACCTGTGGCAACTATTTTTTTTTTTTCTGGTGGTTTAACAAAAGTTTCTTTCTCATTCCTATGAAGTCCATCCGAAACAGCTGCACCCCGTGGGGGGGGGGGGGGGCTCAGCTTTCCAGACGACTTTGAGTTCCTGGCCCCTGTTTCTCTATGGGCTTCCACGACTGAGGCAGGAAGAGCAATAGAGTCTTACACCCCCCCCCCCAAAAAAAGGCTTCAGCCCACAACTATCAATTTTTAACAAACATATCCTACACTTTCTCCTCTTTGTATCTCCACCTAAATTATTTAATCTATTAAAATATGTTCACCAAGGCCCAAATCAAATGTATTTTGAGTGCGAAGCCTAACCTGGTTTCCAAATTTTGAGAAATGGTGGCTCCCTCCTCTGAAATCCTGTATCCCTTGGCTTTGTCTTAGAGTGTGTATTGCTGTACAGTTTAGGTAAGCATGAAAAAAACGTCAGCATACAGAGCTTAAGCCCCTTAAAGGTAGAGAACAGTTCCTTTGCATCTACGAAGTACCAATTGTTTTTCTAGTGATTTTCTATACATAATTCCATGTAATCTTTGTTACACCCTATAAAGTGGGAATTAATGTGCTCACAGGTAGGGACACTGAAAGTCACAGAGGCCAGACAACTTGCTTATAGTCCGCAGGTTAGCAAGTGACAGAGCCTAGATTTGAATCTTGGTCTTTCTAACTCAACGTAGGCTCTTAGAAATCTTGGGTGTAACCTCACTGCTTTATCTGTTGGTTTCCTATCCACCTACTGAACATCAGCAGGGAAACCTCCATTGCTTTTTGTCATTAAGCATCAGCAGCAAAGATATGATATAGGGTGCTTGCCCTACCAATTTCCAAGACTGAGAACAAACTCTTCAGAGTGAAAAGAATATGAGTCCTGAATAAAGATGGAGAGTTCAGCACCCTGCTCCCAAGAAGGAAACGTAAAAAACCACTACTTTTCCACTCTTCTGTTTAAAGAGTCCTCCTCCTTTGAGGTACCCACCATCTGGCTACATCACTCACTACCCCTCCTGCTCATCTGTCATCTGCCACCCTCCTGATTAATCCCCTTCTATTCACTGCACCTGGGTCACATCCTGTCCTCCCCACACCCCAGCATCCTAAATCACTTCACTATTGACACAGATGACCCATTCGATGTAAGAGCCTCGCAGTTCCTGTCATACTAGGCTTTGCTGACCTTCATATCTGCTGTACCTCAGATCCTCACACAGAGACCTAGCTGTCACCTAGAAGAGCTCCACTTTCTGACCACAACTTCCATGTTTTCTAGCTACTTCCACCACGTTTGTTCACTGATTTAACTCAAGCTACTGAAAAATCTTCAAGTCCAAAACCAAAGTTATCATCCAGTGTTTCTTGTCTCAGTTAATGTCACCACCATCCCTCTAGTCACCCAAACCAAAAATGTGAGCTTCACACTGGACTCCTGACCCTCTCATCCACACATCCAATCAATCATAAAGCCTCACAGATTCTCTCAAAGTCATCCCTTTCTCCTCATCCCTATGACCGTATTTAAAAACAGTACTCCACTGTGTCTGATAAAAAACTTTCAGTGATTAAAAAAAATCATACATTGAAGTAATTTCAAGATATGTATGCAAACAAGTACAAGATCTACCGTGATATGGTCTCTGCCTATATTTGCAGCCTTGCAACTTACCACTTATATCTTTTATAAAATTTAGTGTTTTTGAGAGAGAGAGAGAGAGAGAGAGAGAGAGAGAGAGAGAGAGAGAACCTGAAGCAGGCTCCAGGCTCTGTGCTGACAGCTCAGAGCCTGACATGGGGCTCGAACCGGTGAACCACAAGATCATAATCTGAGCCCAAATCGGATGCTCAACCCACTGAGCCACCCAGGTGCCCCACCATGTATGTCTTTATTGTTATAGTTTTAGCAGTCCCAAACTGCTTGTGGTTTTCTATGCAAGTCATTCCTTCTCTCACACTGATGACTTCCCTCGAGCTGTTTTCTCAGAAGCACACATTTTATCCATCTTTACCATTTATAATTTGGGTCAGGTGTTCCCTCTTCCCAAAGCCTTCCCTCAAGTCCTTGGCTAGTCTAAATGCACCCACCTTGGGGTAACCACAACGTCATACATCCCTCTCACCTTTATTCGGAGATGACCTATTTGGGCATCTAATTTACCAGCTCCACAGGGATTGAAAAATGTATCTTACTCATCTTTACATACCCAGCTAAACACAGTACATAGCAAAGTGCCTGACACAGAGGAGATACACAGGCTTTACGTTTAGAACTTGAGTTTAAATCTGTGGTGGGATATTCACACACTAGTTCTTTCTCCCAGAGTTTTCAGTATTTCCTACCATTAACTTCAAGTTCCTAGAAGCAAAGGACCAGAGCCTTTCCTGAGCCTGCACAGTTCTATACAAAATGTTTCAATACAAATTTTTACCCAACTTACATAAAAGGGAAATAGCATTTGCACGAACAAACCAGAAGTCAAAGCTTGTGCACTACAAACTTTAAAACCACTAACCAATTTAAAAAATAAAGACATAAGAACAAAGATAAAGAACCAATTCCAACTGCTGGTATGTGCTTGTCCATGTTCTAAAAACAGTGAAGCTTTGGTTAGAATTGGAACAGGGTTCCAGATACAAGAGCTTGGCATTTTATCTACAAGGCCATGGTATCTCTGCTGGGCTTTCAAAGTTACTAACCTGAAGGCCTGCTTTGGGTTGTTTAGGACATTGGTAACAGGCACTTCTTAAAAGCTTAACCCCCACATACCAAGGCTAAGTGGTAAAAAAGCTGGCAAAAAAAATAATGCTGGTAAGTGAGCAACAAAAAATGTTCTTTTTCATAGTAATTTTGGGCCTTCTGCTGGCAGTTTGACACAGAGCAAAGGGTTCAATGTAATAAGCATTTCCCTCTCCAACTAAATATTAAATTGCAGTCTGGAACCAAATTAGGTCTCAATCCTTTTTCAGAAGAAAAAAATAATAAGCTTTCCTATTTGCATGGTGCATCGCCACACTTTGATATACATCAGCTCAGCTGATAAAGAGTTTATGGACTTTTTTTTTAGTGAGGGGAAACCCAAACATTTCCACAAAGTAGGATCTCTTTTAGGTCGTTTGAACACAGCACTGGACTTTTTTTTTTTTTTTTTAAGTTCAAAACGCAGCACAGAAATGAGGAAAGGAATACTTTTTATTTAAGCAGGTCAATCAATCCTTGGAGCCAAAGAACTTCTTGAAGAAACTTAATAGGTTTTGTCTCTCCTACTAAGAAGCTCTCTCCTTTAAAGAGAATATGAGCAAGCTCATTCAGAGAAGGGATCAGAGAACCTCAGTATACAAGAAACAACAGAAGGAACTGGAATTAGCGAAGAGAAGACAAGCCTCTGGGGAAGGACTACTATCTTCAGGTATCTCAAAAGCTGCCCGTAAGGGAAAAAACGAGGAAGAATGGGAGGCAGCGCGTTCTTTCCACCAAAATGCATATATATTTCTAAGAAGCAAAGCCGTCCAGGAACAGAATGGATTCCCTTGGGGAGAAATGGGTTTGCCATCACCGGAGGGGGTGGTCAAGGGATCTGGGGTCGATTTAGGGATTTTCAAAGGGACTTCGGTATGCGATGGGGGGGGTGGGGAGAGGAGCCCTGGGTGACTTTTAAATTCCCTTCCAGGCTGGAGACGGTCCGGGGTTCACCCGTCTCCCGGAAACCCCTTGCCTCCCCCCAGGCCGGGGCTGGCGCGCCTGGCCGCCGGCCCTCCGCGGTGGCCCCCAGCCCCGAGGTTCGAAAGCGCCTTTCTCCGCCCGTTTCCGGCGGCCCACATGAGTGGTCCCGGCGCAGCCCGGGCGCCGCGGCTGACAGCTCGGGCCCCGCGCACGCCCGCCGCCCCGGGTCCGAGCCGGCCCGACCCCCAGGCATCCCTGGCTCTCGCGTCCGAGCGGAGCGACTGACCCGCCGCACACTGACAGCACCCTCCGCCCCCGCGCCGGCCGGGACAGAGCGGCCGCCGCTCAGATCTTCCTGACGTGCCCCCTTCCTCCGGCGTCAGGGCCGCGGCCGGTCGCTGGGGCCACGGGGTCCGGGCTGACACGGCCGCTAAGGGCCTCAGTCGCGCTCAGACCACAGACAGGCCCCCGGCCCGACAGCCAGCAGCCCGCCTGCGGGCGGGCCGCGAAGAACGGGGGCGGCGGCCGGGGACTGCCCCTGCCGGCCCAGGGCCCTGAGGGCACGCGGGCTGGCGCGGGAGGCGGAGGCGGCGGCCGAAGCGCTTACCTGCGGGCGCAGCGGCGGCGCGGGGCGTCTCACTCCCTTCCCGCCGCCATGTTTCCGCTGCGCAGGGAGCCCAAGCGGACGCGCGAAGGGGGCGGGCGGGGGCGGCTCCGGAGGGCGGCGGGCGGGCGGGCAGGCGACGGGGGGCTTGACCGCGGCGGCGGCGGCGGCGACGGCGGCAGCGGCGGCGGCGGCGGCGGCGGCTCCTCGGCCCCGCCCCCTACCTCCGCCCCTCCCCTCCCGTCGCGGGGTGGCGCGCGCCGCGGCCGTTGGGCCCGCGCGCGCGGGGGGCGGGGCGGAGCTGCGCGGCGAGGGCGCCACCGAGCGGCCCGGTCCCGCTAGTCCCGGCCGCCCCCGGCCATCCGCCGGGGGGCCTGGCCCACGCCCCGCCCGTTTCTCGGAGCCGCATCTCCCGGACGGGTAAACTGAGGCCCGGCGAGGGCTCGGTGCTCGAGTTCGAGTCCTTCCGCCGCTGGTCACCCGGTCCGAGGTGGCGCGGGCACCCGTGGGCGACACGGTGGAGCCAAGAGCCGTCAGGTCTCGGCCCAAAGCCCCGCTGGCGCCCTGTCTCGGCCCAAAGCCCCGCTGACGCAGGGCGCCGCCTCCGGCGCAGAGCAGGCGCCCGGGACTCGAGTCCCCGCCCAGCTGCTGACCAGCTGCGTGATGGATGACCTTGAGCGAGTGACCTCGCTCCTCTCCCCGAGGGTTCTCATCTCTCATCCAAGAGGCTAGTGTGAGGTTCATGCTTGTAAAGCCCACGGGACAGTGCAGGGACCTCGTAAATAGATGCTCAGTTAAGTGTAAGCTCCCAGGGTCCCCCTCCTGGTTCACCCATTCAACAAGTACGCATTGGGCCCTCTGTGTCAGGTCATTCTTTGAGTGCTCACTAGCACTCCGCGGTTAATGGCCGCATCCACCCCAGATAATACTTGGAGCGAGGTGAAATCACTTGTCCAAGGTCACCCAGCCAGTGAATGACCGAGTCGAGGACATTGATCGAAGCCTGTGCTCTGCCTGCTGGGAGTGGTCAGCTCTGCTGCTGGGGGAGGGGGTGTCAACTGAGGCACAACGCATCGAGTTGGCTCTTGAAAGAGCCTGCAAGGGGAGAAGCTAATTTCAGGCAGAGAGAAGGATGTATGCAAAGGCATGAAAACATGATACCGTATGGCTGGTGTGAGTGGTGTGGCAGGAGTTCGGGAAACGTGTGGATCTGGTGATGCCGCAGCTAAAGCTAGACAGGGAGAGGGAGCCAGACCCTGGGAGGAGGTATTGTAGATCTAGAATGACACTGGATGCCCTTGTATATCGACCTTAGAATTTATCTTGTCGGCCAGTGGTTTTCATCGTGTGGTCCTGGAGGTCCGTCACTCAGATCCTTTCCGGGGTCGTGAGCTCCAAATTATTTTCAGAATAATGCTAAACATAGTTTGCTTTTTTCACCCAATCTCTCACAAGCATACAGCGAAGTATTCCATAGAATATAGGACATATGATATCGCAACAACTTAAATGCAGAAACAGATTTTAGGATCCAGCTGTCTTCTTTTAAGGCTGGCATTAAAGAGATTTGCACAAATGTAGGACGCTACTCTTCTCATTAATATGCTTTTTGTGGAAAATATAGATACTTTTCATTAAAAATATGTTTATGATAGGGCACCTGGGTGGCCCAGTCGGTTTAGCCTCTGACTTTGGCTCAGGTCATGATCTCGTGGTTTGTGAGTTAGAGCCTCACGTCAGGCTCTGTGCGCCTGCTTCTGTGTCTCCCCCTCACTTTGCCCCTCCTAGGCTCACGCTCTGTCTCTCCCTCTCTCAAAAATAAACATTTTTAAAAATGTGTTTATGTTAACATGTAATGGGTTGATTATTGTAATTTTTAAATGAATTCATAAAAATTTAGAAATTTCTTAGTTTTAATTTCTAATATGGTAAATATTGACAGAAGCCACAAGCTGCACATAAACAAGCCCCTATAGGTCCTCAATAACTTTTCAGAGTGGAAGGGTCTTGAGACCATGAGGTTCACGGATACACCTGCTACCGGCACTGAGAAGCTCTTAAAGTGTTAAATCGGGGAGTAACTTAATCAGTTTTGCAGTTCAGAAGGAGCTCTCAAGATGCAAGCCAGGCCTTGATGGATATGTTCACAAGGCATTCCAGGCGGATGGATAGTAACAGGAGAGAGCCCGGCAGGTAAGCAGCAGAGCTGGGACACAGATGATTCCAGTCTTTTTATTCCTAATTTGGTATCGCCTCACCACCTGACAGCAGGTGTTTTTATTCCTTTATTTCCACTAGGCCCTGTGGACTGAGAATTTGCTAATGTTTCCTGTGGATGCTACTGCTCCTTGTAACCCCAGCACACCGTTCCCTCTTACTGCCTATTTTCTGAGAAGCAAGTCAGGGAGGCGGGTGAGAGGCAGGGAAGAAGTTCCCAATGACAGCCTGGGTAGGCCTGGGAATCCTGGCGGAGGGTCCTCTAAAGCTACACAAGCCCAGGGTATCCTTCACATACTTCCAGAGTTCTTTAGACAGTGAGAGGAGAAACAATTGAATCAAAACCTCAAAACCTCTGCTCTCTGCAAAGCTGCCTTTGAAGAGAAGTTCCCTCAGAGTGCTGAGAGTCTGTTCCTTTAACAGAAAAAGAAAGTGGGGCACCTGGGTATCTCAGTTGAGTGTCAGACTCTTGATATGGGGGTCATGTTCCCAGGGTCACAAGCCTGGCATCAGGCTCTGCGCTGAGTGTGAACCCTGCTTAGAATTCTCTCTCTCTCCCTCTGCCCCTCTCCCCCACTCATGTTCTCTCTCTCTCTCTCAAAAAAGAAAAAAGAAAAAAAAATACCCATACTGGATGTAAAAATCTTTTAAAGGTGTATTAGATACCTCCTAGCCATCCTAAGTATACAGAAACAAATTTATTATTTTCTTGATTCATTATGAACATGAATTGGTAGCAGTATCAGGCTTTATTATTAAGAAATCATCTTGGGCTATTGAAGAGTGAAGGACAATATTCCACCTTAACAAATGACCCCAGAATGCTATGCTTTCCAGGTTCTCATGATGGTTTCTTAAAGTTTCTGGTTTTTAACTGCCACTTATCTTGCTGTCATTATGCCTATCCCTTTCATACCTGCTTCTCATTTGCTAAGGTCAGGGAGGTAGATAGTCCAAGCTTCCTGGAATTGCATCAGAGAGTCTCTGAGTAATGCCCTTACTGTCGTAGGCTGAAGCCCTAAGAAAGCAGGCCACAGTGGTAGTAGAGTGGGGTGGTTGATCATGAGCTGCAGAGATAGACTTCTCTGATTTCAGTTTCTTCCTCTCTAGAATAGAAAGGGGATAATCACATACCGATCACATCAAGTTGTTGGAAGGAAGAACTCAAAAGCTTCTAGTCTAAATCGTCAGCCCTCTCCCCAGCGCCTTTTGTTCTTAGCTGCAGTTCCGTTAGACAGTTCCATACGGACTCCTTAAACTCCATGGGTTACAAACTGGAATCACGACTTTCCATCCTAAACCTTTTATTTCTATCTGTGTTCCCCACTTCAGGCAATGGCACGGCCATCCTCCCAGTTACCCAGTCTTAAAGCCATGGTTGTGCTTTTTCTTTTTTAATTAAAACAAGTTTTTTTTGAGAGAGAGTGCACGCTCATGCACATGAGAAGAGGAGAAGCAGAGAGAGAGAATCCCAAGAGGATTCCCCCAAGAGGGGGAGAGAGAATCCCAAGCAGGCTGCACACTCTCAGCACAGAGCCCAATATGGGGCTTGATCCCAAGACCCTGGGATCACGACTGAGCCAAAATCAAGAGGCAGACGCTCAACCGACTGAGCCACCCGGGTGCCCCATCATGGGTGCCCCATACTTTTTAAAACACCTCCCTGTCCTCCACATCCAATCCATTTCCAAAGCACCCTGACTCTCCCCTAGTCGAGTCCCCATTCCCTGGACTGTTGGAGTCATGACGTCATTCTGAATCTTGTCTCAAACTTGTCCCCTGCAGGTGCCAGGAGCTGAAGTGTCATGTCAGTCCCCAGTTCCTAAAACTTAATAGGTGCTCAGTACCTACAGGACAAAGTCCAATGCCTTCGCCTTGAACTCAAGGCTCTCCATGATCCAGCCACAAACTTTCCTTTCTAAATTCATTTCTCTCCATTCTCCTTTATTTGGTTCCCTTGTAGTTTTCCACACTTGTCCTTTGCTATTTGGGGCTTTTCCATGTACTGCCCTGTCTTCTAAAATGCCTCCCTCTCCATTTCTGTATGTCCTAATTCTACCCATCTTTTAAGACTCTGATTTAATACAGCCTCCACAAAACCCTCCATGATCTTCCAGCTTGAATAATAAGAAACCAACATTTATGTAATGCTTACTATGGCCTTTTCCACATGCTTTACATGTACTATCTTAGTTAATTCTTATGATAATTTAATTGTCACAACCTATGCAGTAAACATGACTATGATCTGCATTTCACAGGTGAGAAAACTGAGGCACAGGAAGGTAAGGTAACTTGTCCAAGGCCATAAACCTAGTAAATTGTGGAGTCAGGATAGGAACCCAGGCAGCCCTAGAGCCCATTAACTCAACCACTGGGCCTATATGAAATTGCTCTCTTGCCTCCACTCCTGTTGGCTTTCGTGGCAGGCCATTCGAACTTCTGTTAGGGTCTTTATCACTTTCTACCTCATTATCAGTTAACAAGCCCTGTCTTGCCTACTAACACAGTACATTTCTTAGGAGCAAGACCAATGTCAGATCTAAAACAGTGCCTACTAAATTTCTTGAGCCTGGTAATGGAGGTAAAATCAACAGAATATTCCATAGCAATAAGAATGAATTGGGGCGCCTGGGTGGCTCAGTTGGTTATGTCCAACTTTGGCTCAGGTCATGATCTCACGGTCTGTGGATCTGAGCCCCGCATCAGGCTCTGTGCTGACAGCTCAGAGCCTGGAGCCTGCTTCAGATCCTGTGTCTCCCTCTCTCTCTGACCCTCCCCTGCTCACACTTTCTCTCTCTCTCTCTCTCTCTCTCTCAAAAATAAATAAACATTAAAAAAAAAAAAGAATGATCTAGGGGCACCTGGGTGGCTCAGTCGGTTGAACATCTGACTCTTGATTTTGGCTCAGGTCATGATCTCACAGTTCGTGAGACTGAGCCCCATGCTGGGCTCTGTGCTGATAGTATGGAGCCTGCTTGGGCTATCTGCTCCTCCATCATGTGCATGCATGAGCACTCTCTTTCACTCTGTCTTTCAAAAATAAGCAAACTTAAAAAAAAAAAAATGAATGAATGTTCTAAAGCAAGATTGACAGATGATGGGTCCTGGGGCCAAATCTGGCCTGATCTTCTGTTTGTGTATGGCCCAGAAGGTAAGAATGGTTTTTACATTTTCAAATGGTTGAAAAAAATCAGAAGAAGAAGAATAGTTTCTTGACATATGAAACTTATATGAAAATAAAAGTATTGGAACCCTATCAGGTTATCTATGGTGCTACAGTGGGCCTTATGACCTGCAAAGCCTAAAATATTGACTCTTTGGCCATTTATAGAAAAATTTGCAAACCCTCTGATCTAGAGATACATGTAATAACCTGAAAATATCTTGAAAATAGCACTGAACAAAAAAAGGATAAGCAGTATGTTGACATTTATATAAAGTTTAAAAAGAAGCAGAACCAGGGGCGCCTGGGTGGCTTAGTCGGTTAAGCGTCTGCCTGCGGCTCAGGTCATGATATCATGGTTCGTGGGTTCGAGCCCCGTGTCGGGCTCTGTGCTG